AAATAAAACATGCCCCTAAGTATAATAATCCTCTTCAACCACAGGCAGAGCAGTTCCAAAATACTTCTGGATTTTATTTTAACTTAAAACTTTCTTACAATGTTGTAAAAATAAACTTGTGTAAGTGAATAAAGATAACTCAAGAACCACATTTGTATATAAAATTTTCTTAAAGAGGCCAGTAATCCAATTCATTCTCGTTAGTGTTGCACAGAGAGCACTCCTAACCAATCACTCATTCAAAGACCAGCAAACCGGTATCAGTCAAATCAGCAGACCTCCTTCACCTATTGCCTTTGCTAATTTAAACAAACCAAGGGACATGTAACTCACTGTTCCACTGAAGCGTTACAAATACAGACTGAAAAAGCAAACTCCCCCTCTCAGGAGAGGGTACTTCGGAAATAAAATGGTGGTTTAGGAAACTATTTTCTGAGATCAAGCTTGAAGAATAATAATGCTAAATACTATACTTAAGTTTGAAAACTCAAATTATCCTTAGTTAAAACAATATACATCTTAGATAGCTTATATTAATGTGTATGGTAGCTTTGCAGCATATTGTTCATGAATATAATACATACATAGTGCTGGGTTTAATATTTTATTTTAATGACGTTTAATGTTATGCAAAATAAATTGTTATGTTACATCCACTGTGACATCAACTAAAATGTGAACTAGTTTGCATAGGTTAGTACTTTGGGCAGCATGATGTTGCTCTAGTCCACCAAGGCTTAAATATTCACAGTGTAGAGGAAGAAACAGGAATTAAAGCATTTCTACTAAAATATATTTTAATAGCTGGTGTTAACTTTCTGCATAACAAAAGCCAAATTAACATGATACATCATATGATCCAAGAGTAAGTGTATCTGTCCTTTGAAAAACAATTGTTACCTTCATAACTGTATACTCCCAAATACAGTACAGTTTTGCAAAATAACTAAAACTTTACACACTTGAAAGCGAACATAAGCCAAACTGCACAGCGGTTCATTTTTGCTTTTTATATCACACTGCAAAAACCAACAGCTGAGAGAGTTTCCACATCATGCTAATCAATGTCAATACAGTCATTGCTGTCTTCCAATGGTCTAGCAGTTTCTAATAGTAATATTAAATACACGATTGAAATGCTACAGTATAGCTTATTTCCCCCCCCAAAAAAAATAATCATAATTAAACAAACGTCAACACCAACTGGATTACAACTTAAGTACAATATGCAAATTCTATTTATCAGACACAAGAAGCATATGAAATTCCTTTGAATATACTGTTGTAGTGCAGGCAGTTTAGGAAATAAAGGAAATACAGCTTTCAGGTTTTCTTTCAAAAGGAGAGATGGGGTTCCTATGGCATAAAGCTGGAGAAAATCACTAAAGCATCGCAGAATGGTTTGTTCTTCTACAGCTCACCAGTACTTTGCATTTGCCAGCACATCAGTTTGGAGATCTTCTTTCAACAGCATCTTTTGTCTGTTTCGGTATATTATTTAAACATTTACTAACTAAAGCATATTCTGTATTTTAAATGAAGTATTAATAAACATAATTAAAATCTAACATTTTATACCCTGTACCACTTTCTGCCAAGCACTTCTGTATTTGTCATGTCTTTTTCATTGTACAAGATGACACGCAGTCACTGTACAATAAAAACTAGAATTATTACCTTTTCCAAATATTGGAGACCTTCCATATCCCCAAGGAACACTCGGTAGGGACACATTTGTCAAAAATATAATCCATGGGAGGTGATTCTCTGTCAAATCCCAGGCTGCTGAAGTGGTTTATGGTATGTCAAATGTAATCAAGAAAACCCTGTTTCATCAAGATTAAATGCTAATGTTCCATAATGAAAAATTACAACTGCAATAACCGTAAGTAGCTTTGTTTAGAAAATGAAGATTAGCCAGGCAAGAAAGAGTAATGAAAAGCAAGGCACCCATTTGTTCTCATATATGTGTATGAATATGCTCTATGTTGTTTTCTATATTTATACTCGTGTTAGCAAGAATTACAGCACATTGTATCTTCTTTATTTCTAAAATACTTAAAATGGGAATGTGTGAACTTCCAACCTGAACTTTGGAACATCTTGGTAAATATGGCTCCTTTAAAAGTCTTTTCCTTTCCCAGAAAAATGTTGTCTACAGAAAAAAAGTACAGTGAGAGGAAGATGCTGTGTTAAAAAGGACTATACACTTCAAAGGTGACAAGACAGCATATAACATCTGTTCACCCCTATATCCCACTGCATGCAACAGGCTCCAACCTACGCCTTGTAAAACCTGTGCTGGCACAATTCACTTGCTGACTTATTTTCCCTACTTTACAAATTTTAGATCTTAAAAATCGTTCCTATAATTGCACTCTGATAACCTTGGACCTTTGACAGCACTGCTTACAACAAAGCTGCATAATGAGACTAAAGTTTCTTTTATATCAAAAAGCAGGAACCATTCCATATGAACAGAAATTACTAAGCATATACAACATAAAAACCTGACTACATCAATAAGTAACTTAAAACAGATCTTAATAATTCTGCTGACATACCATTCTCAAGAGAAATACAATTTACATACTGTTTTGTTTTCTTGACCTTTTTTATTTTGCAAATTGCTTTAGCTGTTTTGCCAGGATAATGAATATTCAGAAGTCATACAGGAAATTTTATTTTCATTGTTTAGCATAATATAGCTCTCTAATGTCATTAAATGCTCATTTTTTAATTTACTTTTCACTATACATACAGTGTTCAACACTGCAAGCCACCTCCTCACTTAGGAAGAATGCTAGTGTATATATAGGTGGAGACTTTCTTTTTTATAAGTCACTAAAAATTGCAACTTGATGCAGTATGTGTTCTCTATATTTTTACTTCATATCTGCTTACCAAACTGACAATTGTTTTTTATTGTTGTCAGCATTACACAGCTAATAGAGCAGCACAGCAGCAAGTGATAATCAATTCTACCTCAGGCATCATCACAAAAATTTGCCAGCCATCATAAGATGGCATTCTGCTGCTTGCTGTTGATAACTGGTGATGAAAACCAACGGAGAAGTAGACTGCTTGTTTCAGAGCTTCTAGCTCAGCTCACCACATCAGCCTTTTGAAAAAGCCATTTGACTTGCAAAGCCTGCTAATTTAATGTGGAAGTCGTTGGTAATGCATAAGGGTCTGTTGCAGCAACAGCTCTATATGCAAAACTTTCAAGAATTTTAAATGACAGCAGCATGACCCATAGAGATTGCATATTTACAGTATCACATCCCTGGTTTTAAACCACATTTTTGAAGTTAGATGCTCCTGGTCAGCTTTAGCCTTGAAATTAGGCAGCTGACAAAAAACCATGGGCAATTCCACAGTCATGTACATTTTTGTAGTTTTTTATGCAGTGATTCCACTGTCTCTTTGGCAGTTGGGATCAGCCCCATGTTAAGAACACCTAAAAATTTGCATAAGCTTTCCAAGTCCTAATTGTGTGCAAAAATAGAACTAGCAAGTATTTGCATTGACAACTTTCAGTTGACATAACAAAGTCATAACTTTTCCTTCTTTAAATAGATATTGCAGGCTTGCTTACTTTGTGAAATGAGAAATACAAAACTGTCTATAAACTCTATATTTAATTCTACTTCAGAAATTTCGGAAATGGAAGAAAGTTTACACAGGCTCAACATTGTGAGAGCTACTCCAAAACTAACTTCTCTAGCACATGGCTGAACACCAAAATTATAGTATTAGCAAAAACATTTTCTTCCTTACACACGCATGCATCCACATGAGTAGGTTCCCATATGAATCTCTAGCTCTTTTGTCCTTCCTCCCTGAGTTTCTCCCTGGGAGGGAACGTGGCACCCTCCTGGTACCCAATCAAAGCAAAAGCAACTTCCCTGTGACTCAACCCTACTGACACAGTTCCTGTTACAGGTCCATTATGTCACCAGTTATTTGACCCTCCCCTCAGCCTCACAGACTGCTACCTGCATCCTTCAGTTCTAATCATAAGTGAATGGACATCAAATAGCATATGTGAAGGTTTGTCAGCAAAATATTTTTACTGTTGTCTACGGATGGCTAAACTGAAGCATGATGGTATAGAGTATGTTGGACTTGTTTGGTTAGTTTTCCTTTTGGTATTAGTTATGAGAAAGATGAAATCAGTAAAAGAAAACAGAATATTTCTCCATCATTAATCATTTGGTAAGCATACAACCCACTGTTTGATCACCAAGATTTTTGGAGGAAACTGAAGCAACAGGCCATTGAGCTGAAATGCACTACAATAACCAGAGCTCTTCTCCATTCCTCAGTGGAGGTGCAAGTATCTCTGCAGCAGGGGTAGGTACATTAGCTCATCAGCAAAGCAGTCATTAAGCGAGTTACCTGTGACAAGAAGGAGGGATGTGACTGCAGGTTTTGTGCGACTGCACAGCACTGGGGCCTCACAAGGGCTATTTACAGCAGTACAGGTGAAGGTAAAGGAACTAACATGAAGTATTGGTTGTACATTGCCCTAATGGAAGTTTCTATTTAAATGCTAAGTATTATTATAAGGAAACAGAAGAGCTGACAGGTTTTATACTGTAGATAGTCTTTGCAAGGAATTTTCTGTGAAAAAGATACTGAAGAACCATGAATCCAGGCATGGATCTAACTGATGGACTGGGATGCAAGCAAAGCTGATAGAAGAGATCACTGTTGGGAATAAGAAAAAATGAGTAATCGAGGAATAAACGTGGGTATGCGAGAGTCAGGAAATTTTTGCTGTCAAAATAGACTTGTTTACTGTGAGGCTGCTGGGCAATAGGGGGTTTTTATTTGTTTTGGGGTTTTTGTTTTGGTTTGGTTTGGGGGTTTTTTACCAGCATATTACTTATCATTATTTCAAAAGACTGAATTACCTACTCAACATTTTCATTTTTATTAGGATGCTAACTGCTCAAACACTAATCATCTCCCTAATAATTTGAAGATGTGTTCAAACTCAGTGGTTAACCTCCTGTAACTTCAGAGTGCCATAAGAATTTATTCGATCTTATGCTTATTATAAAGAGAAATAATATCTTTAAGATATAGGGAAAAGGTATTTCCCCTTTACAGTGAATTGACTGAAATCTTTATAAGATTAGCAGCACCAGGCTTCCATATATGTTTTTCGTTTTGAGGGAGCACTATTATAAGCAATGCTGTTTTCAAAGCTCTGAGCTTCTTGTTGATTATTTATCTTTACTTGAAAGGACTCCAAATTGGATTCTGAGTGAGAATGCAGACTGTTATAGTAGTGATAAAGTAATGAACGTGTACTCTTAAAAGATTCTTCTGACTTTTTCTAAAAGGTTAGATTTTGAGTAAATCATAACAAAGCTCAAAGGACTAGAGACAAAAATTAGTTAACAAACTCAATATAATTTGCTGGAAGCATTCCTGTTTTCCCAGTTCTCTGAACAGTACCATACATCCAGCCATCATCAATTGGTTGCACATTGATGATATAATCACCATCCCTGAAGGAAACTTCATCTTCATCTTGAGCACTGTAGTCATACATAGCTCTGTACGTTCTCTGTTGAAGGAAAGAAAACATGGCTGTAAAGTCTCGAGCCTAAACAGAGATAGATTCCTTCTCTTCTTTGCACAAATAAAATGAAAAGAGACAGACAAAGAACAGAGGGAGAAAGGCAGAGAGAGAAATCACAAGTTACCTGTTGAAAAGAAACAGTACACCCTCTACCCTGTCAAATATTCAATTAATACAGACCCTTTTCCTGAGTAACTATTTTTGTGAATCTACAAAAGTCGAAAGCCCTCATACAAACAGATTTCAGGCCATTCACTGCCTCTTGAAATATTCTAACTGTTATTTCATATATTCACTAGTAACAGTTCACTACATCCATCCATGGCTAACTGTGCTTCCGCTCTGTATTTGCATGACTCCCAAATAGCTTCTCCTGCGTCTTCACTACAGACAAGAAACATAGTCTTCATCCAGGTCATTAACTTTGCCATCTCACTGAATGTCCTTCATTTCATTAGGATTTTACCCCAAATTAAGAATTAGGAATATATTATTATCTAAAGAAAAAAAAAAGACAAACAAGATCTCAAAAAGTCTGCAAAAATAAGTTTTATGAATATTCATTTTTGTATATTCAGATAAAAGATTGATCTAAGCAGAACACAAAATCCTATCATTAGCTAAGCCAAATTTCTCTACACCTCTGTCCACTGTAGGCCAAGATTTCAATTTTTTCTTTCTAAATAGAGTATTTATTTCCACTCTTAACCAATAAAATGCTGTAATTTACTGGGATTCAAAGCGGATTTTCAAACTTGGAGGAAAGAGAGTCTCCCCTTGTATCTTAAGAGCAGAACAAAACTATCTCTTTTTAAAATTCCCAGGAGTACTTTCTTTTCCTTACCCTATTTCTCATATGTCAACAGCAATTTTTCATATGTTACCAAATCTAGCTGAATTTTTCTGGTACAATGATTTAATGAGAAAAAAGGTAAAAACAGTCAATGTTTGAGTTAATGCCTAGTACTACTGTCTGAACCTTTTAAGAGACAGTAAACTTTGTTCTACTTTCCAGGTGAGGAAAACAACTCTTGGATTAGTTTTAGTCCATTTCATGTAAGTTTTTCTGAGGGGTTTTTTATTAAATTATTTTTAGAAAAGACGGGGACTCCTTCACACACAGTGAGTTGGCCATTTTTTACATGTTGGAAATGTAGGATCATCTAACCCAAACATTATAGGGCGACTCATTATTACTGTTCCCATGTTAGAAATACACTTTTTGTCTTGATTCTGCCTTTATCATTGGTACAGCAGATTAAACACTACAGAGAAAACTCCTGGTTAGACACCGGAGACCACTATCTTTCCTGACAAGCCTATTCTGAACTGTATTTGAATCTTGCCATGCATAATTGTTCTCTGCCATGCCTTGTCATGTTGCTGCCCTACAGGCTGTGACCAAGAGCGATTTTCAACCAAAGATATGTGGTTTTTTGGTGGTTCTTTAATGTCTTCCAAGGATTCATAGAAGGTGATGGAAAAAAAGCATCATTTTTCAAGCACTAAATTGAAGAAACTAGTTGGGAAGGTTCTATCATCATTGAAAATTCCTTAAAGATTCACAAACTAGAAAACTAGCCATCAGGAAATTCTAAGGAATGGTCTCTGCCTTTGAGAATCTTATTTTTTCCAACTATTTCAACCGATCTCTCCACTGAACCTTGAAATTAACTCCAAAAAAACAGTGAAAAATATGCTATTACAACAAGCTCAGCAGCAGTTAGTCCTTTAAACAAATTATTTCAAAAAAATGTCCATTTAAGAAAAATGGTAGTAAGTCCATATCTGGTATGAGGCACGCTTATATGTCTCCCTTAAATGGGTAAAGACTGGGGGGAAAGATTAAATGTTTTATTAAACAAACACATAATTGGAAAAAAAAAACCGAGAAGTTTTTGCTCACCCAGAAGGATGCCCACTCACCCTTAGAACATCACATTATAGGACATACTGCTGCTGTCTCCTTTAAGGCAGCTTGACTACATCACTGTGGTGGCACAGTTGTGAAGACAAGCTGATAATTTCAAACTTTAAAAAAATTTATTAGGGCCCTAAATGCTGCTGAGAAACCTAAATTTATGGCCTTAACACCTAATTAGGTGCTAAATGCCTGTCAGGAGAAATCTCCATAATAATCCTGTTAGCATTTAATGCCTAATTATCACTTCAGAGTGTAGTCTGGGCTATATAATTGAGAATCACAATGCTTAAAGGACTCAAAGCAGGGATTTTTAAAATGCATTTTAGTGAATTATTCCTCTGTCAGTAGTGAGTTTAGCAGGTACTGAGAGCACAAGAGGGTATAAGAAAAGGTTAGGGTTTTGTAAAACAGTCAAATACTCACTTATCTCCCCAAAAGTCTAACTTGCAACTACTGCTTAGACAGAACAGTAAGTCTTGTGCATATGAAGAACTGAAGCCCAGCTCTCATATTCCCAGCTCCCCAGCCAGATGTGAGCTGACAGATGCATGTTTCCACTTCATCCACCAGTTTATATTTATTCTACGGACTGTTCCTCACAAGGAGCAGTACCTGTTGCAGCATCCTTCGCATAGAACAGCTATCAAGGAAAGCTAATTTGCAACCTAGGTTTTGTTTTCCTACCACTTTTAGTTATTTAAAGAGAACACTCTCATAAAAAAATAACATTTTCCAAAGAGATAAACAGCCTTCAGGGGTCTCTTATAAAACATTCTGTACTCTAAGCAACAATTTAATTCAGCTCATTATGCAGAACTGCTCATAGAAAGTGAGTAAAAGTTAAGAATCAGAAAATAATGCAGTTCATGTGGCAAAAAAAATCTACCCAAAGAATGTGTTAGGATCATGTCTGATACAAAACACAGCTCAAAATTAAATAAACCAAAATTTGAAAAATTAGAAATTAGAAAGATTCTATTTCTCAATATAGGAAATTGGTGGACATGATTGTAAAATGAACTTACGTCTCCTGGGTCCCTGATTTGATAATGCAATAAAACAGTTGAAAGGCATAGGTTTTACTACAGCAGTTAACTCTCCAGTCATCCCCACCCATTGATATAACCCATGGGACCTTAATCACTTTTGCCCTAGAGATGTCCTGGCCAAACTCAGGCACTGATGGATGACTTTGCCACCTCCACTGCTTTTAGCTAAGTCTCAAAAACCACTTGTGCTTTGAGATCAGTATTGAGTCTGGGATTTCTTTCCTCCCATCTCTTTCCTCTCTTACTTTCTTCTCTTACTTCTTTCTTCACTCTGCCTGGCTTAGCCAGACAAGGCTGTATCTCTGGCAGTACTGCTCCTGGCCCAGAACCAAACAGGCAGTTGGAAGTCATGAACCTAATGTTGTGTAAGTTTGTCAGATCTCCTAGGGCATGTCTACACTGCACTTGAAAAGCACTCCAAGGTTGTCTTCCATCTTCAGTCTGTGCAAATCCCCAACATATCCCCAACCCGGGGTTTCCCTGAACACACACTGGGAACTCCTTATGCCGTTACAATAGCTGAGTGTAACATGCCCAGCACACCTGGATAAACTGCATATGCTAAAGAAAAGATTGTTTTTTTGGTGTGAAGGTGGAAAGACAAGGGAGCATGTCAGGTTTCTAGCTGTATCCAAGAAGACTCTTTTGGAGCAGAATCATCACTCTGGGGGATGAAAAGATCACACTCCTTCAGTCTTCCTCACCAAACTGGCAGGTTAGCAGTCAGCACCAAGCCAGCAGTCCTTGATTTTCTCCCTCTCAAAATGTTTGGGGTTTATTGTCTTCAAGGAAACCCACTCAGTTTTTAACAGCAACAAAATCTGTTCAAACTATGATGTTTGCTGTTTCCTTTTTTCCCTATTATCACTTAAAAGAATGTCAAATGACAACAGTTTCACCAAAGGGATAAGAAATCCCGTTGAAAGGAGACACTCAGTCATTCCTTTATTTTTTAAATCCTTTAACTTCACTCCCTTCCTTTTCCTATTACCTTCACATTCCCAGTTCTGGAAGGAGAGGCAAATAATGATTTTCAGGATGATTTAAATTATATTGTTTCAACAGGCAGCCCAACAGATAAGTCAGTGGGAGATAGAGATATTAGGGAAATAGTAGCCATCTCCTGCCCAGAGAGCTGGGAAGACTCCTACGTGCATTTCGAGATTTGTGGGCATCTCCGTTCTCTACATGCTGGATTTGAAGGCTGTCGTTTTGCTCCCCACTGACTACCAAATCTGCTGTCAAAGCCCAGGCTTCCAGGTCTCCCATTTTTTGGACTCTGGCCCTTTTGGAAAGCAGCCATCTCCCCAAGTGCCTTGTGATATCCCTGAAAATTGATGGTTGATTTCAGTATCAGCTGCCTCACAGCTGTCATGCAGGTGTCCAAAGAGTTTCTCAGATTACTGGCTCACACAAAGAAGCAGGTATCTGTATCCCAGACTCCCCAGCAAGTTACCCCCCTTAGCCACCAAGCAGCTGAGATACTGGAAAGCCTGAAAACACCCAAATCCCACAGAATGTCATGGTCTTTACAACACAAAATGCCAGGGAATTTCAGTCTTAAACACAAATACAAGTTTCAGCTAATCTTGAAAACAGCTTTTTTTCAGCTCAGCAAGCTCTATATTTGGTACATAAATACTTCTTCATCTCTAAAAAAGGTGATAGAAGTAGTAAATATTCATCCATTCCAAATAGTTCAAAATTCAAAATTACAAGTTGATATTTTTAAGGCAAAAGGTGACAGGATCTGAACTATGAATAGGCAGTGGTATGATAACCATTAAAACTGAACTTTATATCTAAAGAGTTCAAAAAGAAAAAAGTTTAATTTCCTAAACCCATTCATCTCTCCTTCCATGATCAGTTACTTCTAAAATGAAATATTCACTCCAGCTTTACATTCCCATCCACCACAACTAAGAAATTAATGACTGTGGCCATGTTTCATGATAAATCTTCTTCTCAGATGCCCAGCAGTGTAACTTGATTTGGATAGGGCACAAGTGGGTACATGACTCTTCTGCTGAACGAGAAAGGGCATACCAATATAGAATCTGAGAGCTAGCTTTATACAAGGAGAAATGAGTAATATGGATAGGCACAAAGTCTGCTAGTACAAAATCAGCAAGTCAAAAAGTTTGAAACAAATTTAAACCAACAGGGTGATCTTAAGAGATCAGTGGTTTCAATCCAGTGCTACGAGACTGAATTCATCACAGAGCATAACATCAAAGCTCAGCCTGTGAAATACTGTCCAAGCATTTACTATTTGTTTTCAGTAGCTAGAAGATTCAGTTATTTCTCTTTCTTATGGAGATTTTTTTTTTTTTTTTTGCATTCTGACATAAAAGTTCTTGCCACTGTCCTCAGCCACTTAATCTTTTTTATACACAAGGACTATCACTTACATTTAGGATTAGTACAGTCAAATAGTCCAACTACAGAACTCAGGGGCACCGCTTCACTCATATTTAAGAGATTTCACAATAGCTGATGATGTTGCTTACCAAATAAAATTGTTCTTTAATTCAAATACTCACCAGACCTGCTGAATGAGGCTGTGAATGCATGGACCTCATGGACGACATACTGGTCTGGTGCATGTATCCATATCCTTGGGACTGGCTTTGCTGATATGCCCCAGGGAGAACAGGGGCTGTGTGTTAAAGAAATACAGACATATTATTTAAGTTTTTTTAAAAGTTGTTACCTAGCATTTTGTAGAAACTGTAGATTATTTGCATTGTAAATAACAACTTCTCAGCAAGAAACAGTTCAGAATGATTTCCATATACAACTTAAGACCTTTCATAGGTTGAATTACACACAAAAGTAACCAAAGCTCTAGCAATATAATCGCAAACACTATTAAGGTTAATTGGAAGGAAAAGCTTAACGTACCTGAAAAAGTCTGACCATAAAAAGGTGTACAAAAGCTTGAGACACCACTAACTCAATTTTCATACTGTCATAGATGACGCACTAAATATCATGTGCCATAAACTGCCATTTTTTAAGGAAAGATTGATGAAAAAGCTATATACCAATACAGTTTTGAAATGTTTTAGTATAAATTCTCTGCAATTAATTCTTAACTCATTGCAAACTAACTTTTATTTATTGGGCTATGAACAGAGAAGGACTGTGATTCACAGGAAGAGACAGAAATGTAAAAAAGCGAGCCCACGGTTGGGTTTCTTAGTTTATTCTAATTCCATCAACATTCTTAGCCAAACACAGAGAGACCAATGATTAATTAAATATTTCCAAGTCCAACCCTTTTCAGTATCTTCCTCTTGTCATGCAATTGTACCATTTGTTTTACACACAGTTCATTCACATTATTTTAACAATTACATTATTTTAACAATTCTGTATGCTGATCATTAATACGTTGACTTTTACTGTACCAATAGCTGACAAAAGAGGTAATATGACCAAGGACTGTCCATTTCTATTGCTTACTAGGAAAGCATTCATAAACCTTCGCTATCTGTTCAAACACTTTACTTCAGCAACAGACCAAAATAGAATGTGTTAAAAACACTTGATCAAAAAATCAGTGAGAAATAAGCACAGTGTAAGACATTTTCCTAGCAAGCCAAATAAATATTTTTACAGCAAAACTGCTTGTGTGTTTTACAAGACTCTCATGCACTCTGAGAATAAAGACTTCTGGCTTGTATGGAGGTGATTAGCCCATTTCCACTGTTACTTACCAGAATTTTATTAGTTCAACTGGAAATTGATGTAGCTACACTAAAAAGAAAATGCATTTCTGTTGATACTTCTTCAAGTGGTCCATTTAGCTGCAATTCTGTCTAACTCCTCTGACAAAAGCTGCTTTTGCTTACAGGAGATGGAGCCCATAGAGCCCATGAGTCAAAAATCCTCAAACATAGAGTCATTCAGCAGTCCAGTACCTTCTGAGACACATCTCTTGGGCTTGCTGAGAAGTGAAGAACCACTTCTGAAGCAGCCAGTACACATAGATTAAAAAAGGAGCAAAGCTGATGTGGGATTTAATGGGGTTCACAATGTATGTAAGGACCCAGAACTTGTAAAATGAACAAACATGGGAGAAGCTGGAAACCTCCATTAAAAAAAAAAAAAAAAATTCTAAGTATTCATATTTCCAATAATAATGTCCTTCTCTGCTTCTTGAGTGATCAGGACAATGAACAAATGTGAAAAAGGATTACTGAGAAGATGTTTGCTGAACTATTTTAGAAAGAGAAGTCAACCTTGTTCTTTCAGCAAGGTGTTTTACCTATCCTGCTTCCCCCACTGACTTCAAAAAAGATTTTTCTTAAAGCATCTATTTAGTTTTAGTTAGCATATTCAAATGCACTAAATATGTAATTACAATTTGAGATGTTACTTTTTGCTCTACTATACTTGTAAAGATAAGTAACGCTGTATATTTAACTAGGGGTTTTCTGATTTAGAAAACATGTTTCAAACTATTGTAATTAATAGACGGCTTTGTTAAGTGAGTGAAATTAAAGTGATACACAGTCAGATGCAACACTGGAACATGATGAATAATGGATGCTTTAAAAGTGCCAAGTTCATTCTAATGACATATGAGTACAAAGAAATTTTAAAGCAGTTTAATCATCAGAGAATTGCTGCTCATTAACATGTTCATAGGATTATTATGCATTAAGTGAATAGTCCTAAGTAGTTCATCAAATAATTCATGTTTCAGTGTTGTTACAAGCTATTCCTACATGACCAGATGTAGCCTTTCATGAGAAAACAGAGAAAAACATAATTCAATCAAAGGTTCTGTGATCAAGCTGGAATTAATATATTTTGCCCAATTCACCACCAGCATAAACATAGGTCAGTTCATAGAAGACAATGGAGTACCATCTCTTCATACCAGTAGTAAATTGGTTATGTGCGTTGAAAACTGAGCACAACTTGAACTTTTTAACTTAATAGGAAACAGTATCTTCAGCTGACATTGGCTGCTGACCAATCAGCACCCTGCCTGTTCTGCAATGGCAAAGGTCTGGGTGCTCTTCCCTGGTCCCTGGCAGGGCAGACACCCTGAGAGTCCCTTTCATCCTCCTAAGAGAAGTGAAGACACTAGCAGAAACTTTTTACTCTTGATTCCTTCTCCCTGAAACAGATCTTTCTCAATTCCTACCAATCATCCATTGTCAGTGACTGATGGTCAGCTTCATTATAGCTTCCAAATCAACAGGCTTATTTTGGGGAGAATAAGCCATGCCTCCTGCCTCTGTGACAGCTGTCACCAGGAGGTCTGAGACATGCTTTCCTCTTTTGCAATCAGCTTCTCACAAGCTGAGAGAAGTCTGTCAAACTGTCTCAATTTTGCTAACCTGTTTGCTAACTTACCTGCAATAATGGAAAACATAAGCCCAGGGAAATAAAGTATTTTTTCCAAACCAGGAGAAAATTTGGGAAGCATTAGAAGCTTAAGTATTAGCAAAAGATTCTATACAAGTTTTTAACAATTTTTTACAAAAACCAGTTAAGAAATCTTCAGATGGTTGTCTATTTGGCAGATAATTTGGGAATCACACAAATAAACAGATTAGTGAAGAGACAACAGATCTAAGCTGTGTTTCTGGTGACATACAGATAATTCAAGATGAGATTAAATGATATAGAAAAAAAGAGTTTGACTTCTCTTCATCATCATCATCACCCGAAGTTAACTGCAATCTTTTAGCTCAGACCAAAGTATAAAGTTCTATAACATCACTGACTGCAGCAGCAGCAAAAGCAATGGTTTTATTTAACCTAAGGGAGCAATAGAACACAGCAGTGGAACATGAAATTCATTTAACTGAAGCCAGATTTATTGCTGAGGGAGCTGAGGGCTGGCCATTGCTCCCAGAAGTACAGGTGATGTTTTTTGTTGTTGCATTAAGACTTTACCAGATGCATTCTGATGTATCAAAACTTACTTTTTTTCTTGTCTCACTTACCAAGCAAGCCAGATACTAATTTTGAATTATCTACTTGAAGCAAGTTATCATATTTCTCTTACTATATTGTTATAGGCTTCCCCAGAGAAAAGGAAGAGGAAAATGAATGAACATGATAAAAGGCAAACAGAGAGGAAGCCTCCAAGAAAAAGAAGAAGCTGAGAAAATTATAGCAGGTATCAACTTGCTGCAGCAGACAATGGGGTCTACAGAGTGTGTACCGATCAGGACATGCTTTTAGAAGGACTGTGAAAGAAAAAGGTCAGACTGTGGAAAGAGTACTGTATAACTACAAGGTAAAAAAAAAAATAAAGTTCATGTTGAAAAGAAAAACAATTTAAAGGGTAGGTTCCAAGATACAGTATTTTATCAAAACCATACTTAAGCTCTCTTTCATTCTTCTGTACAGCAGAACATCAATAAGCCATGGTAAAACAATGTATTCCCACTGCTATGACTGCATTTTTGCTGTTTATTACAATACATGCCATTTACTGGACCAGATGTAAAATAATAATCACTTAATTTACTCTTACAGACATCATGCAGTTTTAAGCATTTATTTCACTTTATGTGTTGATGTTATCTCCACTCATGTTTTCATTACTAGGCTACTAAGACTTCAGAGAACTCACTAAGAATATTGCAACATTTTGTAATAACAACAACAACATGAGAGAGCAGGAAGTAAAAAGAAAGACAATTATTACTATGTGCCTGTAAGAGGATGATCAAGCTGTATGCTTTCTGACAAGTACAAAAGTTGCAGTAGAACCAGATTTGTATGCCTTTGTGCTACTGACACTATGATTAGCTCCCCCAAAATAGATTAAGTTGCTTATGGTAACCATGTTGCTCCATATACACTGAAGTCCTTCCCCTGTTTTGCCTCGCTGCTGCCTTATTTTCCACAGGTTGCAACATCTGGAGCAGCCCTCATGGTCAGTCTCTCCCATAGCTTTCAGTTCCTTCTTTCTTTTGCCCTTCCCTTAGAAATTACTTAGCTATGTCCCATGCAGCAGAAAAGATTGTCAATCCCATGTGGGGAAGTGTAAGTCTAGAGTACACTTCTGGGGTACTCAGGTAACACCCCACATGTTGTTCATGTGGATGGGTCACTGCTCAAACTGCAAAACCTCCCTGACCACTTCCCAGTTCAAGCTAGAAGACTACATAGCTAAGGAGATACAGCCTTAGGGTAAACTGTTATTGCTGGGTTGAAGCTGGTGGATAATAACAACTGATACCTTTTTAAAGCCTTCTCTAGAAAGTGTCACAGAGGCAACTTTGGTTACAAACTCTGACTCGATACTTTTTTTTTTTTTTAATCATTTTTGCTAGACGTTGGCTGCTGCTCTCCATCATTAAAATATTTAAAGTGTTTTCAGTTAAAATTTGTATTGTCAATCACATCCTGGTACGTTATCATCTCTTACCAAGACTGGCATATTTGAATACTATCAACAGTTTTCACCCCTTTCCTGAATCTAATGGTTTCTAGTAACAAAATTACTTCCACAGCAATGCACCTGACATCACTCAGGGTCTGATTCAGCTATCCTTAGGTGCTGAAGTAGTACTTCCCCTTCAGGAGTTGTCCCATCAAAACTTGCAGCAAGACTTTTGATGAGAAGGTACTAATCAACCTAAGTAAGGACAGGAAAATTTAATCTGGCAAAAAAAAAGTAGA